GTTTCCCACTGTAATTCCTTTTGTTTTTATACTGCTTACGAGGACAGTTCCTGTCATATACTTTCTTGAATATATTTAAAAATTGCTCCTATGCTTTATCTAAGTCTTCCTCTCTGTAAACTGATTCCCAGTTTTGCCCCATAAAACTCTTTACAGCATGTTCATTCGTCACCCTCCTATAGAAAAGATTTGTTTTTGGCCTCTCTTTTCTATACTGGCCCTCATAAACCACAAATACTGGTAGATGATCACTAATATCATTTATAAGTAATCCACTTGTCATTTTGCTGTCAATAACATTGGTAAGTATATTATCTATTAGTGTTGCATGCTGGGTTGTTACTCTACTTGGTTTTGTAATTTTTGGGTATAAACTGCATCTATATATTGTGTTAATAAACTCCTCAGTTCCTGTGTGCTTGTTAGAATTTAACAAATCTATATTGAAGTCACCACATATGAACATTAATTTATGACTTATTGTCAAGTAATTTTCTTCCATCCAGTCATAAAATTTTTCTATGCTGGCTCCAGGTGCTCTATAAATACAGAGTCTTCTGAGAAATGGAAGAGATGTGCGAACAGTCTTCTGAGAAATGGAAGAGATGTGCGAACATGTAAATAGTAGTAGTAGTTGTAGTAGTTGTTGTTGTTCTTCTTCTTCTTCGTTGTCTTCTTCTTCTTCTTTTGTCTTAAGATCTTCTGACCAAAGCAAGAACCAATCAGTCCCTCCCATCATTCTGACTGACAGAGAAGTTTTTATGGTCTGAAAAAAGAAACACAACAGCCGTGTTAACATTTTTGCTGGAGTGAAGAGATCTGAGTGGTTTGGTCAGACATGATCATGTAGAAAAGAAAAACATATTGTACCCAGAATTAATAGGAAATTCCTAGATTGTCAAGAGGTTTAGCAAATTTAGACCTATATCTTAAGTCTGACTCTAAGTTACAGAATATGTAGATTCACAGTTAGACTGGTCTACACTCCACTTCATCCATCACTCAGTCTAGAAGTGCTGCATTTCACACTTCTGTATTTCACAGCCAAAAATAAACATGCAGCTTGGCTGGGGGGGTCAGTTTTTTCAAGCTCAGACTCAGTGGCCATGGCTCATTTACTGTGAAGAACATATATCAGAACACACTTTCAATGACAGTTTAGCATTTCAGTTTAGCATTTCTCTCATCTTTTATTACATTTCATTACAAAACAAAAAAGTGTTGCGCATTAATTCATAAATGTAATCTAAGAAAGGTAAAATGTAAAGATCTGTTGAGTATTTTAACATAAAATTGTTTGATTGTGTTGAATTACAAATGCCTTATTACTTTTTGTTCTCATGATAATTATTAAACCACAACATTCACTTTTATGCAGTGAGAATGTTTGGAGAAGGTTCTCAGAATGTTGGAATCATGTAAGTTCTACCTCTGTATAATATGTAACATTGTCTGAATGTGATCAAAGAAACATTTCATTAAACATGTTTAGACAAGGTTCTCAGAATGTTGCAGCCACAATGTTCTAACATTGTTTAATAAATAACATTGCCTGAATGTTATCCAAGACATATTACATTGACAACATTCTGAGAAGGTTCTCTAAACATTGTAGACAGAACATTTTAGTTTTGTTAACTATACAACACTGCTTCAGTGTTCACAAACAAACACCACATTCACAACATCTTAAGAACATTTATCAAATATTTCAGTTAGAATGTTATAAATTGGTTCAAATATAACATTGCAACAACATTTTGCAACAGTGAAAACATCCTTAGTAATGTTTTCAACTAATGTTTTAACTGTAACCTTTGTAGAACTCATAGAAAAGGTTACTAAAAGTTGTGGGAACGTTCCTTCCTGGGTTTAACCATTTAAAATCATATTTCCTAATCATCAACAGCTAAGGTAGCCTACCTGTACAGGAGGTGGTTTTGTTGATGAGGGTTGAAGCTCTTTGTAAAGGAAAAACAAGGAAAGAAATAACTAAGACTACATTAGGCTACATTTGATTTGATGAAGCTCATTACATACATTATTACATTAAGATGCATTTTGATTAATTCAGGATTGCTATATTACGTTCACTTAGGTCTACCAATTAAACCGTTCTGATAACTTATGGCGTAGTAAACCTTAGAAAATGAACACTCTGGTTAACGCCAACAAAGACGGATGCTTTGGATGCAGTAGTCCTATTGTTTTCACAGGACCTTTAAGATAAATCCTTGACTTGAATGAAATCAGCTGATTAGCTGATGGGGGACGGGTTCAAATACGAGTGGAAGCCATCTTGAATGGTTGGTTGACAAGACTCTTGTCGTAGTCAGCTAGAATTTGAGTACATCTTTCAAACACCGCATAGAGACGCGCTTATTTCAGATATACAAGGTAAATGAATGCAACGCTAAACCATTTATGTTTGCGGGCACTTCTTTATCAAATATTCAGTCATTTCCTGGCGACTTGAGAGTTGGCAGGGACTGTTAATGTTATATCGCCATCGTTAGCCACTTC